GAGCCAATCATCCAAATACGGGTAAACTGTGACTCCCAAAAGACGTGAGCCACCAATGGGGCTAGACATTTAGTGAATACCCGGGGTGCAGTGGATAAACCAAAGGGGAGGGCTTTAAACTCATAGGTTCTGCCTCCTACTGAGAACCTCAGGAAACGCCGGTGGTCTGACCTGATGCTAATGTGGAAATAAGCATCCTTGAGGTCAATCACCATGAACCAATCCCCATAACATAACATGTGGATAACAGAGTCCAGGGAAACCATAAGAAATCTACAAGGAGTAATGAAAGAGTTCAGGCCGCAAGGATCGGACAGAGACCTCCATCCTTCTTGGGGATGGTAAAATACCCTGAATAGAAACCTATTGAAACATCAGGGAGATGCAAAGGAATAATGGCATCTTTTTCCAGAAGGGCCTGAATTTCATCTTCCAAAGGTGGGGGAAGGGAGGGTGGACTTGAAATGGCCTGTGATTTTTTGGGGGGGGGGTATTGAATTCTCTAGCATAGCCAGTGGCTATTATACATAACACCCAAGAGTCAGATGTGATGGAATACCAGGAGTGCAAGAAAGGGGCCAAATGGACTACTGGGTCAACAATAGAGAAGTTGTAAACATTAAAGAGACCGCTAGTTTTTGTGGTCTTGTCGGCAGTTTTGCTGGTGGGGGCACTGCCTGCCCACTTGCCTAGAAGGTGCAGGTTGGTAACTTTGGGCCTGGGGCCTCTGACTATCTTGGTACCCCTTAGGTTGGTAAGAACGTCTACTGGTGCCTCTTAGATGAGACTGCTGTGCAGAGTAGGACCATGCTGTCTTCCAGAGCTTGAGAAGGTTGTCAAGTATTTCATCTGTCTTTTCATTGGAAAGTCCTGCTCCATCAAACAGCAGGTCCTCTATCCATGCCCTGGTGTCTTCTGAAATGCCAGCAGAATGCAGGCTAGCATGATGGTGTAGAGAGATGGCAGTGGCCAACTGCTTTGAAACTGCTTCTAAAGTACGGCAGACAGCAATACGTTCATGTCTTGTGAGCCCCATGGCCTCCTGATGATACGAGAGGCCCTGGGCTCTAACATCCTCAGGAGCTGCTTCCAGAATGGGCAGTGCCAAATTCCATAAATGGCAATGGTAAGTGCCCATGGAAGCCAAATAGTTGGCCACCCTGAGGACAAAAGAGGCTAGAGAGTACATTCTGCTGCCTAAGACATCCATCTTGTGTCCTTCTTTGTCAAAAGGACAAGTAGCAGAACAATTCCAGGCTCTGTTTTGTGTGCTATCAACAACAAAAGAGTTTGGAAGAGGGTGTTTTAAGAGGCAATCCATATTAGTCCCATACACCTTATACAGATTGCCAAACCTCCTTGGAATCTGATAGGAAGTGGAAGGTTTAAGCCATGATTCTCTCATGAGTTCAGAGAGGGACGGTATGAATCCAAGGCGTACTGGAGGAGTCTGTTCCTAAGTGATGTCTTCATAAACCTTATCTGTTTTCTTAACTACAGGCACCTCAATGACAAGTTTGAGGACCTTCACTATTCTGAGAATGAGGTGGGAGTAGGAGGAGTAATCCTCTGATGGTGATGGAGGATGGTTGTCTGCCACATCTGATACAGGAGTAGGAATATTAGCTGGTGAATCCTCCTCTCCCTCTGACACCTGTGAATCAGAGTCCCGATCGTTAGAAGGGGAATAAGGTGCCTTCTCTAGTGGAGCTGGGGACAAGTCTTCTCCAGCTCAGGATCGAGCCAAGCTCGGCTCGGGTCCGACTGCAGGGTAAACATCGGCCCATCTCTGGGTCAGAGGCCAGTCGAAAACATTTGGCTCCTCTGATCGTAGCAGAGGTTGGTAGCAGGTGCCTCTTGCAAGGTCAAGAAGGAGGTGGAGGGATGCAGCTTTCTTCAGCCTCGGGCATGATATCACATCAATTGCGATACTGAGGCGGGCCCGGCAAAAAGGGCTGAGCATAGGGTTCGAAGTGTCGATATCGAGGGTAAGGGTCATATCGATCGGGTCCTGCATGAAAAGGCATGTCCTGTTCATAGTCCTCCACCCCATACGCCAGGGGGTAGTCAAGGTAATGCCATCGGCCTTGACGAGCAGGGTAGCCCCTCGGCTCTGACTGCTAGCTATATGGGTCTGGTTGCTCAGGTGTCTCCAGGTGTCAGGATTTATGGGTTCTCATACGAAGAACCTCAGTTGGAGCCACGGCGGTGGCAAGTCCACAGGTTGCTGCGTGAATGAGCCCAACGAAGACCGTGGGCTGGCCTGTGCCAATTCAACAACCTCCAGAGAGGTGCTAACCCAGTCAGGAGTATCACTGACTGAAGAGGATGGCAGCGGCAGCTACAGGGGCACATCCTCTTCCCCCGAGGGTACACTCAGGCTCACCGAATGTTGCCGGGATATCTCCGGCCTCGGTGCCAAGACCTCTACTGCTTTAGGAGGCTTAGGTGTCTTTTTCTTGTTCTTCGAACTCGATGTCGAAGATTGCAATGATGTTGATGCCATGGCCATCAACCTCGAGGACGATCTCGGTTTGGCTGCCATTTTCCCCGCCTTCTGGGCTTTAACCTCAGGTGAAGCTGCCGGAGACCGTTGCAGAGTTTTGGGGGAATCCATAGAGGTAGTTTGAGATGGTGAAAGGGATTTCTCCCAAATAAATGATTTAAGGTGTTGGAGCCGCAATTTTAGAGCCGGCTTCGTAAAGTTTTTATAAAAGGTGCATGCGGCCGGGCAATGTTCTTCTCTGAGGCAAAATAAACAACGGGAATGTCTGTCGGAGGGGAACTTTATTTGAACAGACCTCGCACCTCTTGAAGAGGCCCAGCGAGGCCATAAACTCAAAGTAAACAACCCAACAATTAATCCTTTTTTTGTTTTGTTTTTGCAGATAACTCACAGTTGCGAAGCAAGGTCAACCATCTAGAATCAAAGTCAACCATCTAGAATCATTTGCAGATAACTCACAGTTGCGAAGCAAGATCAACCATCTAGAATGAAGCGAGGGAGATCCAAGGAAGAGAGGGAAAGGTAAGATTGATTGTTTAATTTGAGCACATGACGTTCCAAACGAAGCTGCAACAGCAGCAGTCGAAAAGGAACTGAGGCACTCAGTGCCGGAGGCAGAGTTATAGCCAGCATGGGGGAGGTCCCAACACCATGTGCTCAGGCTAGAAAGTTCCAAGGCTGCTCCACACAAGTGTGGATTAACCCATTAGGGTGCATTCACAGAGACCATGAAGAAGAACATAGCTTCTCCCTCAACACGGATTTACCATTGCTATCTACTGCACAGTAGTAAAAAGTTAAATGAGTGTCACAGCTGTTTCCTCCTCCACTGGCGGCATCATCAGCTACCACTGCTGCCCAGTAGCTACCCTGAAGTGGGTGGGTGCATCTAAGTCTTTGCCAGGGCTCCTGCATCCTCAGCAGGGCCTCCTTCATCGTCTCTTTCTCCGGAGCCACCTGGATTCTTCACAGGGCTTTGTCTGAGGACATGTCTTCCATCTCCATGTCTTTGGGCTCACTTATCAGCTGTTTCTCAGGCTTCTGTGGTGGCAGTAGGGGCTGGTGTTAGTTCATATTGGGCTCTGGGGCCTGGGCCTTGGTAGGGGAAAGGAGCATAGCAACCAGGGCAGGATGTGGAAGAGAACCAAGAGCATCAAGGAGAAGTTATCCACTGCTCTTCCCCGATGCCCCAGCAGCCATAGCCACAGCAGCCTCCCCTTGCTTCTCCTCCAGTCAAAATTACATACATGTTAACTTTTCAAGTTCCAAATGATTCAGGTGGTCTACTCTAGCTGGGAATAACTGCTGGATTTAGGTAACTGAAATCAACTGCCAATATCCATAGAATTCACCATTCTGGAGAGAAATTGTTCAGAGTAAGAGCATATACATCTGTTACGTGTCTGGAAAAAATACATTTCTAGAACTCAGGACTGCAACACTAGACATTTCGTACAGACATTGCCAAATAAAATCTCAACGAGTAGTGGTAGAGTTACAAGAAACAAAGTTCAATTAGAAACTACATTCTGTGGCCTGCATAAATTGTGCATATTAAGCATATAAACTCATGGCACTTTTTCTGCATCTACATAAAGCAACTAATGAGAAACATGCCTCAAACACTGAAAATCCTGTTTGGTTTTTTCCTCATCTCTTTGCCTTCTAGAATTTCATCAGGCACTGCACAGACTTGTGTTAGCAGCACATAAGGACTAGAAATGAGAAGGAAAACAAGCCTCAAAAGAAAGCCATTATTTCATAATGAAGAGTTCCAAGCCCAACTGTAAGACTCCTGTACTCGAATTATACATTTAGAGAATGCATCCAGCCCAACTGTGATTAAACAACTTCTAATACTTTTATCTTATTCCTTCAATAGCTAGACCGCTTGTGTGTTTCCCCAAAAACTATAAATAGAAGAGTTACGCATAACAATATGTACCAAAGGAAGTTACATTTCGCAACAAGACCTCAAAGTTAACCATGTTTCTTTGTTTCTGCTTTGGCTAAGTGGGTACTGAAAGAATAAAAGGATACAAAGCTGACCAAGCAGGTAATCAAACCAGTAAAACGCCAGTAGGAAGATCAGGACTTGAATTAAAAACATTGACATTCCTGTATACCTTAGGAATCCCTATTCTACTGCATGTCTCCTTTCTATCATTAGATCAGGCCTTGTCAATGGAGCCACTATTCACTCAAGCAAACAACGATGTCTCAAAGGACATGCACTGCAGGGCCTTGTCAAATGTGGCATCCCTTGCAGAATAACCTCTTGAGGGAACTTAGGTTGTCACCCACTCACCCAGGTTCCACTTCCAACTAGAAGCTGCTTCATTTTCCCAAGGAACAGTCTCTACTTTTAAAAGTCTCTGTTGTTTTAAAACCGGATTTTCTACATTATTATTTCCCCCCTAAACTTCTAATTGGTTCGACTGCAAGACTTCCCTAACATGACTTAAGCTGAGCAGCAAGTCTTGTTAGCACTTACCACTACTTTTCTGCCTTCATGTTCCTGTTCCATGTCTTCTCCGTCCTCTTCTTCATCCTCCTCCTCCTCAGCTTCCTGGTGCAGATACAGGACGTTTCGGACTCCTCGAGGTTTGGCCCTGATTGCCACTGTATCACAACTGTCATCACTGTCACCTGCAAGGTACCCATAAAATCACTCTTGCAATGAAATACACTTTGATCTCCCTCAACCCAAGGACTCTTGACGGACTGGTAAAGCCACAGACCATCTCTACTTCAACTATACAGCTATCAAGACAGCTTTCCAACATATTTCTCCGCCTCCCACCCCAACATCAAGCTTTTCCTCTGTCCTGCTCTCCACCTTTTCAGGACCTAACTGGGTTTTCGTTCCCCTGTCCCTATAGAATCCTCAAAAAGAAAACTGTGACTGGGAATTCTAGTTTGGGCAAGAACCACAGAAGGCTATTTACAATTGCAAGCCATGACCCAGAACCATCTACTACAATGCTTATCTGGTGTTTTGCCTGTTGTTGCCATTTATGGAGTTCCATATACTTGCCTTCACTATCAAGGATATAGTCACGTGGGAACATAATCCCACAGCCCATGATGTCTCCTTTGTAGCAGCGTGGACCAAAGGGATCCCCCACTCCACTCCCATGGAAGATTTTGCCATCATCTGCAAAATAAAAAACAAGCTATAGTGATAAGAAAGAATGTCAGAAGGAAACACACATGTCAACTGGCATGTGAGATCTCTAGATGATGCAAAAAGCCTTCAGCAAAGCAAAATACTAGCAGTACTAAAGCCCAGATGCAGACAGTATGCACACCCTATGAACTCTACTGCCCACCTAAGCTCCATTTCCAGCCTCACTCAGCTAGGGAAGAGGGAAGGAAAGTTTACAGAGTGAATGTCCAAGGGGCTCTGTGTATGCTTCAGTGAGCTTCTTGGTATTTCTTCAGACAAGCTCAGGAACCACACTGCTGCTTTCTTCTGGAATTTAAGAGCTTCCCTGAGCTGTAAACTGAAGACTAACCCCTCCAAGCTTGCAGTTCTCTGGAGTCCCACAGATTGGGCTTCAGAGTCTTCTGCACAGTTCTTCCAAGGTTTGGACAAAATGCAGAGGAATGCTTAGGTTTTCATGTCATTACTTGAGCTGTTCAAGGTGATGCTCTCCCCTACATCAAACATGCAAATACCAGACCACTCCTACATGCTAAAAAAAACATCTTTGAGAGAGGTACCTTCTTTACCTGTTTACAAGACTGATTCAAACTACAATCACAATTGGAGGTAGCATGGCCTTTCAGCTGACTTCATACTTCTATGCTGCACATCCAAAAGGAAAACCACTATCAAACTAGGAACTGCTTAAGATGGTGAAAATTCTCCACCCAACAATAATTCCTAAAATTATTCAGCATTCCAGACAGAGGTTTCAAAAGCTGTTTTTAAACACAGTCTTCAAAGTTACAGGTTCTGCTTAGAGTCCATATAAATGGTACCCAAGAGTCCCATCAAAAACCTGGGGGTTTTCATTCATCTAGAGAGGGGTTGTTCATCTCTGAGTAACAGAATCTCTGGATCTTGATCTGACAAGAGCCTTCCCTTCTGGCAGACCTGGTTTTGATTCCTAAGGCAATTCTGGCAATTTGGGCAACTGCACCCCCTCCAGGACTCAACAGCTGAAAGAAGTTTCCCATCATGCCTACTTACCATGCAGCCCTCTCTAGGGCTAAACAAGCTGCTTTTTAGCCAATCAGCCACAATGCTATTTCAGGCCAAAGAGAAAGGGAAAAAAACACTATTGGCCACCGCGCACGATCAAAGTCAGACAACTTCGGAACCTGGTGGTCAGAGAGCAGTTCCTTGCCTTTGGGCAGAGAAGAACAAAAGAGAGACGGGAGCAGGGCGGGGAGGCCACAAACCACTTGAAAGGCCTTGGCACTTGCTGTGTCTTTCCAAGTTCAGCTATGTGGCGGATGTGGGCGCCCGGAACATGAGGCACTCAGCCAAGACCCGTTTGTCTCCATGAAGGAGGAAGGTTTTCTTGGGGAAAGGGCAGTAAATATTTTCCCCTGTTACCAAGGAAACTTTGGGAATAATGTTGTGTAAACATTCCAGAGTGCGCCTAAAATAATGAAGGCCAGCCAGCCAAAGTGCCTTTTAGGGAATCCCCTCTTCCTCAGCAGGCACAGGAAAGGGTCTCAAAACAGCAGTGGGGAGGGGGAGGCATAGATAAGGCAAAAGGAACGGGTTTGGGGAAGAAGGCGAGCTCTGGGGCTGTATGGGGAGACAGAGATTCAGTACATCTCCTATCTCTGAGAGGATCAGAAAGAAAGATAAAGACTATCCATTCTATATATACAGGAGAAGAAAGTGTCATCATTCAAGGGTGTTAATGTGGATATTGATGGCAAGGAGGGGGTCTCGCTCTGAATTATATTTTCCCCTGAAGAACTTAGAGCAAATTAAACAGAGATATATAGTTCCAACAAACTTAGCTAATTCTCTACAGCAGGGATCCCCAACCCTTTTCACTCCAATGCTCAGCATGTGCGAACGAGCGTGCTGGCTGTCTCTCTCTCTCTCTCTCTCGTGTGAGTGCGCTCGTGCGCATGTGCAAACAGCAGCACAGCACTTGTGCAGGCACTCACTTGCTCATGCACATGTGCAAACGGCAGCACAGCGCTCACACAAGCATGCTGGAGCACAGGCGCAAACAGGCTGTGCAGGGGTGAGTGCATGCAGGGGGGCAGGAGGTCTGTCTTTGCGGCCTGGTCCAGCTCAGGCCATGGACTGGCACCGGGCCATGGACCGGGGGTTGGGGACCTCTGCTCTACAGCACAAATCATATCCCTGCAAGGACATGTAATTGTTTTAAAAACAAGGGAGTATCTTTTTTTAAAGGCTTCTCTTCTAACTGTATCAGGAATGACACAACCAATTTCACTATCCCCTTCTGCTGCATGTGTCGCTCAGTTCACATTCTCAGTTATCACCACTGAGAGACAGGCCTTTCGGGCATGTGTCGCACACAGCATCACCATCACAGTTCCCATTCCCACCTCCCCATCACTTGGTCTCTCGTTGAGGGAAGGCACTAGCAAAACCCCAGCTTCTCATCAAGGTCCATCACTGAGTCTGACTGGGCCTACACTCTGCAGGGGATTCAGTCAAGCACCTGAGATGAATACTCAAACAGGCCATTATAAGGAAAACAGGAAGTGAAGAAAAGAAGGATGGGTAGAGCTAAGGGAAAATGGCCCAACAGTGTAGGAAGGAGGTTTTGTCAGCTAGAATGAATTACCGTATTTTTCGCTCCATAAGACGCACAGACTTTCCACCCCCCTGTTTTGTGGGGAAATAGTGCGTCTTATGGTGCGAAAAATACGGTAGTAATATATCATTCCACAAACTCCAAGCTCTTCTTCCATTTTTCGCCTAAAAGCCACTCAGGGTACAGAACATCAGGACAGTACTATAAAATGGTTTACTCAGGACTTTATCAGCATGGCAGGTAGATCCACTGACATTGGTACTAGGAAGACTGGTACCTAACAAGACTGGAACTTGAAGGCTGTCAGCACTGCTACCTTGCTACATGAAGAACCAAACTAGTGGCTTGAGAGATATGCTTAACCCTAGACTCAGCCATGGAACATATAAGACATAAGACATAAGAAATTTATTTGTCATTGCACTCACAAGTGGGTGCAACGAAATGAGGTGCTCTTCCCCAAGGTTAAACTGGACAACACCACTACAAAAAAGTTAAAATATACACAACACTCACCATACAAATATAAATACCCCATTTCTCCCAGCAATTAAAAATTCCACCAAAAACTTATGACCCCGCATTTAAACGCAATACATTTAAACTCAATATGAAGTGATAACACACAAACATGTTTTCAGCAGTCTCCTAAGTACCCTTCCCTTACCACTATGTACACAATGACTGAGGACAGGCATTGCTCCCTAGCATCTATTTAATAAATTAAACTGCAGAGCTGCTATCATTTGGAAGATCTCTGAAAGAGGGAAGCATTCCAAGACTCCATTCCCAGAAGCTGTCATTCTGGCATGAAAGGAACTACATATGACTTGAATATCTTCATTTCAGTGCTTTCAAAGAGGAGGCCTGGTCCAAAACGAAAAATTCAATATTGTCCTAGCATTTATATCATCAGGTATACCTAGATCATTTAAACCAGGAATGCATGGTGATAAGGCTGTGTCCTTCTCAATTTTATTTGACTACAATACCCATTGCTCCTTATCAGTAGCTATGGTGGGAAACTGCCACTGGGAGATAAAATCCAACATTACCGAGAGGGCCACAAGTTGCCACCCACCTTTTGAAACAGGGACTGATATTATCACCAATTTTAATTGTTTTTTTCTCTCTGAAAACCAGAAGTGCAGTGGTCTTAAGTGAACCCGGCGACTTCTGATGAACAAGTTGGAGGCCAAATCCCAAACAGTATTCCTTAATGACCATAAAAACTACACAACCCTCTCTCACAAAAGGCCACCCACCAACTGGATTTCCCTCAGCCTCAAGGACTGGCCAATCCCAAAGTGGCTCTAGTTTCTGAAATGAAGAAACTGCTGGAATTCTGAACGTCCCCCAGGAAACAGTTAACTTCCAAAAGCTGCAAAGTTTCAAATTCCTCTTTGACTAAACTATGCAAACTGAATAAAACATTGGATACAGCACATGACCTGAACATTCTGTTAGGCCAAACAGACACCAAGACAAGCCTCACAGTGTCTGAGTAATTGTGAGATACAAGCACAAACCAAAAACGTGAAGACAAAAGAAAGGCCCTTTTCTGCTAGCAGGTGAAATTAGCAGTTAATTTTAGGAACAATGCCTAACAGATTTTGACCATCAGTCGTCTTTGGAGTAAAAAAAAAAGTGCCAGCCAGTTATTTTTCTTTACTGACATGGCATCAAGCACATGCAACCAATAACAGTGGAGTAACAGCCCAGTTGCTTTAAGAAAAGGTAACAAAGCAGGGAGAGAAGGAGAAGGTCTTGAGAAGCAGCTGACTCTTGGACTGCACTCTTGACATCCCTCTCAAACTTCCTTTGGCAATGAGCTCTGGAAAGAAAGGGTAGGGACTAACCTCAACAAGACTAACCTCTACAGAGAGGAAAAGTGCCAAGTCAAGAGGATGGAACAGTCATGAGGGCACGGTGGGGAATGGAAGTGAAGGTGATAGTGGGGCAAGAGGCACTCCCAGCCGTGCTGAAGCCTAGCCAATAATAAGGTTGAAACAAAAGAAGGTTGGGAAAACTCTGAAATGCTGAAGGAAAAATGTTTCCTTTAACCAGAAAACCTTTAAAATGGGATTTCTCCAGAGATCCTTGAAGGGGGGGGGGACGAACAACAGCATTTAAGCTAAGGACAGCTTTTCTGCCATCACCAATTTTGTTCTGTATAGTGCAACCACGAATGGTGGAGGAGAAGCTGACGTGAGGAAGAGAGAGGACGTGTTCTTACACACAACCTCAGTTCGTGTAAGGTAATACCTAGCCTCGGCTGCACTCCCTGTGAACTGAACATGCATCATAACGCATAATTCATAACTGACGTTTTAAAGGTACCTTGAGGGTAAGAAGTTTAACAAAGCCCTGTCCTATATTCTGATCCCTTTTTAAGTATTTGCAGTAATTGAGACTCTTCCTCAGGGAGCAACTTTCCTATTGAAGGCAAGCAATATTTCACCATAATGAGCATAATTATTTATTCTCATCATCTCCAAGCCAAGAGGGTGGAGAGGTGAATCAAGTATCTTAATAATGCCTTACTTAGTGCAGATGGTCGATACAATTCATGGTTTGCTAAACCTATTTAAACTGTACACCCTGTTTCCCTGAAAATAAGACCTAACCTGAAAATAAGCTCTAGTATGATTTGTCAGGATGCTCGTAATACTGTATAAGCCGTACTCCAAAAGTAAGCCCCAGTTAAGTGAAACCCCGCCCTCCACCATTGTGCAGCAACCAGAAGATTACATGACTGCATTTGAATAAATGTAGATTGTTGTATATGAAAAAAATAAAACATCCCCTGAAAATAAGTCCTAATGCATTATTGGAGCAAAAATTAACATAAGACCCTGTCTTATTTTCAGGGAAACACAGCATTAATACTCTGGTTTATACCCATTCCTTAATATTAATAATAATCAAGTCATTTCTGACATGCTGACCCTTTTCAGAGTTTTCCAGGTAGAGAATGCTCAGAAGTGGTTTACGATTTCCTTCTTCTGGGAGCAATGTGGGACTGTGCCCAAGGCCATACAGGCTACCTCTACTCGCATGAGGCACAGTGGGGAATCGAACCCCCAACCTCTGACTCTGCAACCAAATACCTAAACCACTGAGCTGTTTTTGAAGTCTGGTTACTTATTAAGAGCCAACTCTTCCTAGTGCTTATTCTTATTAAGGGCAGGAGATATCAGCAAGCTGGAGGAGGACAGAATCCCAAGGTTTGCAGAAGTACACACCTCAACAGAAGTTGCTGAAATGTAACTGCAAAAAAGCTTACCAAACCAAACTTGGGTGTGGGAACAGTCTAATAAGACTGAACATGTTCATAAGGCACAAAATTCAAGATACCAAGGTGGGGCTGGATGAGGTAGAAAATCAGGGGGAGGGGAGGGGGATGGAGGAACAGAAAAGGGTATGGCTGTCTTACATGCTAGACAGGGGAACTTATACTGTAACACTTTGTTAAATGTCCCCTTGTGTAGACATCATGTTTAATCTTGGTTTCCAGAGAGATTTATGAGCATATTTTGGAAAACTGATGTTTTACTAGAAGATCGCTATAATACTTTTAACTGCAATAAACATTTCAAAAACTGTTCAAGAAAGCACGCCATGATCAAGCTACGTTCAGAAAACACCTACCTGACATACTACCCAACATTGCCTGTCTATATGACTCAAAAAGTGTTGGATTAAGAAATATTTTATCAGTATCTTGGTGTTTCATATCCTGTCCAACATACCCACACAACTGATCAGGACTACAAGCTTGTCCCCTATCATGTTAGAATCGGTGATATACACAATATCTTACCCTTGTATGGACACTAATTCAGACCAGAATTATCTTTTCAGTCGTAAAGCATTCATTGAAAGCAATGTGAAAGGAAGAAGAACACTATGCTTTAACCATTTCATTCACAAAGATAAGAGTGTCTCCCACCCTCAATTCTGAGAGCCACTCAAAAAAGATACTAAGACTGATGGTATCAAAAGTTACCAAGGGGGGGAAAGGGTATCAATAGAACCCATACTACCCAATCCTTCTACCAACCAAGGTCATCACAAATAAGGCAGACTCTGGGACAAAACCATACTGGAGCCCTAACTGAAATGGATGCAGAAAATCAATTTCATCCAGATAATTGCTCAGAACATTTTAAAATTTCTCAAGCACAGATAAAAAAAATCTCCTCTGATGGTTACCTGCTGCTTGTTTGCATGGATAAATGTTATACTATAAATCAACATGTGCTGATCCAGTTAAGTGCTGGTACAGACTTCAAAGTGATTAGTTTAACCAGTTAGACAATGAATTGTTATAGCTGAAGTTAAAACATCAGGATAGTTATCTATAACACAGACAAGCACACAGATGAGGTTTGTCATTTAAGAAGGTACTTTTTCATGTGCATGCATAGAAAAATCACTGTATTCAGCTTGTTCAAATTCAGTACTAAAGACAATACTGTAAATACATACATACATACATACATGGGATAAAAATGTACCTACCTACCTACCTACCTACCTACCTACCTACCTACCTACCTACCTACCTACGTACCTACCTACCTACCTACCTACATGCATGCATGCATGCATACATACATACATAATCTTCAACCTCAGTATATAAATTAAGTACACACCCTTCCCTACTATTGTTCATCATCTGTCACAGAAGCAACAGACAATGTGCTACCTAACTACTATAGTTGTATTTATTCTTCAAGCAATGCATCTGCCATGGCTGTCATCTACCAGTAGGGATAAGCCAGAAGCCACACACCCCTGTGGACAAAAGTTGATATAGGAAAGAAATTGCTGGACCCAGGAATCTCAGGAGCCTAGGAAACTAAATATCCCAAAGCTCAGTGCCTGAGTCAGAGGAAGAGGTTTGGCTACCATCTAGCCCGTGAGGACACTGCACAATAAAAGCATAAGAACAGCTAGAATGCTCCAGACAAAGTACTCGGCTGTAAGGAAAACTCTTACTCCCAGGGAGACCAGTGAGTCCGCTGTAGAGTTCTTTTTCCAGCCAGGTGCCTGCACTTAAGTTCTATGTGGGGCTATACCAATTAAGTTATTTAAATTTTGGTCTAGGATTAGGTGGCTTGTCTCTCCTAGCTTCAAGCCTTGCCCACCATGCATCTTGATCCCCTATTGCTGATTCCTTGCTGTGTATAACTTTTGAATTGTTTGACTATATTTTCTGGACTCCCCCCTGCCCGCTGGATTGCTCTCAGACTTCTCCTTCAACTCTCTGTTAGGATTCGGTTTGCTAGATCTCGAAATTGTCTCTGCCCCCATTCTAGATGCCCCAGCCACATTCATTTTTTAACTTACAAGACTTTGGGACTAGGCCCCCTGGCAGCATGATACCATGGAGATTTCAACAAGCACTGTCCACAAATTTCTTTCCACATCCTCCATGGCAGTCAAATTCATCTTATTTTATATTTCATCAAAAAGGGGAGAGGGCAGAAAAGAGGTCTTTGTAGAAAATCCAGAAAACAAGGTTCTCTTCTACTTTGCCCTAAGCATAACTTTTGGTAACTCACCTGCATGGTAGGCCACAGATCCCCGACTCCAACCAGGATGGCGATTTTTTGGGTAGTCCTGGAACAAGAGAGAAACAGAACAGAATAGATCATACAACGTAACTGTTTAATCACCTGACATCTCATGGCAGAAAAGCACCAAGCAACCACTATTGTTTTTAAAAGAGCTTCTACTAAAGAGGATGTGTTCCTGTTTTCAAGCTATGAAGTTCACCATTAAGCTACCAAGGTAGTTTTTTCTCTCTTCCCAGTACCTGGATGTGATCACTGGGACAGGCTGTGGGGTTTAGATAGGTGGATTCCCATTTCCCATCCCCACTTCTGTGATTCAGAAGTGGATGAGTTAATCCTCAGAGATTAAAACCACAAATCCCCGTCCAGATACAGGAGGAGGAGGAGGAAGGAGGAACTTGCTTTTACAAGCTGTTCAAGCTCACAAGGAGACAGCCACCAGGGCACTCTTTAGAGTGACTCAGCAGTGCTTTATGGAGTTCCCAGGGATAAAGAGCAATGTGTTCCTGCTGGCTCTGATACTCCCTCTCTCACTGGAATAGAAACAGGAATTGTAAAGAAGCAGAAGACGTGGAATCAGGCAGAGTCAGGAAGACTAACTAAAAAATTATGTAACGTTCAATCAATGCTTCTTTTTTAAAACACACAACAGCAGTGATAGTTATATTCAGGGCACTAATATTTCCACTGTGCCAGAACACATCTGTATTCATAAGAGACAAGTACAAGGTTCTAAAGTGCCAATTATACCTGTGTAGAATACCTTGCTTTAGCTTGTCTCTTCAATACTCTCCAACTAAGGACAGGTAATCAAGCACCATTCATTACAACTAGATCTTTTAATTAATCCTGGTCTAGAGAGGCTGCAGAACTGGCTGCCTGTTATATCCCTGCATGAGTCACTGCTCTGGGATCGACTTCCTCCAAATCAGACAGAATGCTCACATAAGAAAGCCATGTACAAAAGCAGGTAGAGAACAGTGCTTTCTTGTGTGTGGCATTAATTCTCAGCAATCTGAACCAACCTTTGCCTAGGCAGGAATGGTGCATCTCCAGGTACTTTCAGAAGTTTAGAAAATCAGTTCATTATTATGATTATTAGTATCATTATGATTATTTTGCTACTGGAGTCTATTGGCTACAGACTATACCAAAATGTGGCAGTCCTGGGTTCCAGTTATCCTGGAGATTTGTTTGCCTACAAAGCAGTTTCTGATGGGGTGGGCCTTCCTTGTTGACATCCACCCCAAATAAACAATCACTAAATCGTTTAGAGGCCTGTTGTCCTCCTGCAGCAACAGAAACTCAAGGGAGGGAGGGAAAGAACCAGATCCAGTTTTTTGTTCTTTGGAACCCATGCGGCTGTTTGGATTTGCTTGCTGTTGTCAGAGGAGGGGGGAATGAACTGGACTTGTCTCAAAGGCCACGTGAATCTAGGCCATGTGTGGAGGCAAACAACCAAACCAGATGGCTGCAGCTGACAGGGAAGGAAGAGGGACAGACGCCAATCCAGTTCCAATGGATAGCCCTGCCTGCTTCTAATTTGTTATCTGGAATTTAGCAACAAGAAATAAGCAAGGCTAAGAAAAAATCAGGGCAGTAGAAGGTGTGCAGAACAACAAAGCATGGCTGTGGCTGAGGAGAGGCTGAATTCTTAAAATCTTGACTCAAGATTCTAAATGGGTGTTGACTTCCAGCCACAGAGAAAATAGCTAGTACTCACCACATCTATTCCAAACTCTTTACTGATGTTACATAGCTAGTTTTTACATCAGAATTTCATTTAAAGCAAAGAGTTAAATCTCTTTTGGGAGATATAATTCCCTTGCCATATGAATAAATTTACAGGGAAATGCGACCATAAGGTGACACTACTTCAACATTTATTGGAAATCATGTGTTGTTCCAAGTTATACTCCAAAGAGGGGAGAAACTCACAAGCTATCCTAGAAAATGCCATACTGGTTTTCGGAAACTATATTTCCTATGCCTGAATCTCAGTTATACCACTTCAGGATGGTTATTTATCTCTTTATATTTTCATTTCTATCCTGCCTTTCTCACAACAGGGAGACCCAATGCACAGGATGTATTCAAAACTGTAACTGGAGAAGAATAAGACAGTAGTGCTTAATTGTGGCATTTCTCAATGACAGACAATCAAATGAAAATATAAGAAGTTAGTTCTTTCATGAGTTACCACTGTTTAATTTTGGGGCTTTCCTACCTCTTACAACAATCTCATGGAAACTGCTCTCAGTGGATCGTACAAGGAAGTTGGGACATATAAGGCAGGTATGGACAACATGCTGTCTACTGTACGAAGGGCCTCTGAACTCTTTTTGGAAACACTGATAGCTTCTACAGACCTTCACTGTTAAATTCCCCATGGTGGTGGCGGCGGCAGCAACATTAGTATGGAAGCCTCCGAAAAGTATGGCTCTATTTAAAACCAAGATATGTAATCTCAGTACCACTTGCTCATATGTCTTTTTAAAGTGTTTGCTGCCACCATAGAAACTTCAGCAGCAAGACCCTCTCCATCTTTTTCATATGTGATGAAGATATAGAGGCCTATTCCACTGTACACCTCAAAAGTGAGAGTGCCAAGCATTTGGAGAATACCCCAGCAAATCTCTCTTAGAACCACAGAGTGTTGTCATTCTTACACAGCCCCCAGCCATGTGCGAGAGAAGTTCCTACGGAGGCAATATGAGAGTGCCTGTGACACACACCAAGGGGTGGGGAGAAATGACCTTGCCCACACTTCAGCTGCTTCTTTTTTACCTTGCGAGCCAGGCCCAGTGCAATGTAGCAGTTTTCTCCTGGATCTACAATCTCCACCTCAAAGTAGTGACTTCTGGTACTCAGGGGCTGTCGAGCTTGTGCAAGACCCACATCAATTATGCTCTTTCCCTTCCCCACATATTCCAGGAGCTGCAGAGGAAAGATGATACAGCAAAGATCACATTGAGTCAAACCAAGCAAGGATTTGGCCTGTGTTCTGTCTTGCAGAGTGATCACTACCACAGAAGTGTGCTATCATGAAAGAACAACTACAAGTAGGAGAAAATAGGAGGAAAGGAAAATAGATACAGTACTGCAAAGTATATTTTAAAGTTAATCTGATTTCAAATAGTGGAGGGAGGAATACAATAGCAAGTAATTCAGTAAATTGATTCAATTCTTCAAAAAACCTTTGGTTTATGAATGTGGGATATCATGCTTCTGTATCCATGATTCAAATATCAGGAAACTACACAACACTGCTGTACAATATTGTGCCCATGTTGCCAGCAGGAAAAAGGATGCCAAGTTCTACATAGAAAAAGGGCAGCCTGAACGTTGACAATACCAATGGCAGCAGTTGAGATGGTCTGATACCCCCTTGTGCTCACTACCAACCACAAATTAACACCAAGCAAGGAAAAATTCCCAGAAGCTCACTCCACTTTTAATCACTTCTCACTCAAACACAAAGCAATTGCCAGGGCTGGTTTTCAACACATATGAATGGTAGTGTTTACAGTGAATCATTCACAAAACTCTGCCCTATACAACTTTTCAAAAGTACTGTACAATGACAAAATAACCATGGGGAGACACATTCTCCACATGGTTACTGAGTCCACTAAAATCTAGTGGACACAAACGACATTACCAAAATGTATTTGCAACATAACAGTTCATGCTGTATGGAAAGATTTATATATCATATCTTTATGATAAGACCCAGAGGTGTTGTTTCTCTTTCTCTTTCTTTCTTTCTCTCTCTCTCTCTCTCTCTCTCTGTCTCTCTATCTGTCTCTCTATCTCTCTATCTATCTATCATAGTTCATTCTTCTAGTGGGCTATGCAATCTCCCAACTACAGAAAATTGTGCTCAGCTGGCACTGTCACGACAAGTTTGGCCTAAGACATATTGTCATCTCTGGCAAAACAACAAAATAGCAACCTCCCCCACACGTACGCAAGGTACCCAGTTTAGTTTGACACCCAAGGGAAAAAATAAGCTTCACAGGAACTTCTTTCTTCTTTCTGGCAATAAAGATACAGCAAGAATAAATTAAACAACAACATACTGCTATTTCATACACATCACACCAGTTCTAGCTAACGGCAGGAAAGACAATGCTAAGTATCATGCATTTCATAGTATAATGCACACATATTTTAAAGTCTGTACTTGCAGTCATGAGGACTAGACAGCTTTGTTTTGTTTTGTTTTTTTAGACAGAAAAAGAAATGTAGCTTTGGACTGAAGAAATAAATAGTTGTCTCAAATTCCAGAATCATATATTTCCCCCAACGGGCCCCCCACAACCCAATGGTGATCAATTCTACAACAGCAAAAATGTGGGTTACACAGCTACCACAAACATGCTCTACTCTATACAGAACATATGCATCCCCAGTGCATGTGTGTGCATGCACACATGCACCCCTCATAAAGCACAGCCACATATTGAACCAATCTTTCCTGGCTTCTACAGCTTCAGCCTTGTGGAAAAAAAACAAATCGGTGACCCTTTCCACTGACTTCTCCTCTCCACACTGCCATAGGATTCCCAGAACTGGTCATTCATCTAAGCACAAAGCAAACATTTCAAACAGCTGGAACAGGAAGCAGCACACAAGGAGTGACCTATGCTGACAAGGATCTATCCTTTGGCAGGAGGGAAAACAACTGTGATGTTATCGTGCAAGTTTCAACGTTTCAAAAATACTTGTCATTAACAGTTTTGCTGAAGGTTTTCTTATTATACAACTCAAATAAGAATACAGTATTTTATAGTATAAACAAAAACAAATATCAAACTAGCGGGGGGGGTATGAACTGAGACAAGATGGCGGGGAATACAGTGTTTACCATATGTTCTATTAATGCCATACTAATGTCCTTGGTACTAGATTTTCCTTTCTAATTGCACATAATTACTTTCCTGGGTGACCTGGAAGCTATCTCTTGTCGATACACCTCCTTTTCCTTGCATAATTTGCAGTCTTTTAATTAACAGAATTAACCTTGCTCCAAGCAATAGGTCAATTTCAGGGTCATATTAAATGTTCTGAGTAATTAAGAACATAATCCTGGTAAGTAGCAAGAAATACTCTAACAATAAAATGGTGCCTGCATTTACAGACCGTGTTTAAGACTGTGTTTCAATAAGACAGGTGCTGGCATCCGTGTTAGTGAAATTTCTAACACAATATTCATTTACGTGCATGCTTTTTCCTATATCATACAAATCCTTCGCTAGGACTATGTCTCCTGATGAATATAATTCTCACAGGTGTTTGTAGCATTTTGTTAGTGAAGACACCTACAGTAGATGTTTTGAGCCTATAATTTCAGATCATCAGCTGCTCTTACAATGTTAGGAAAGGAGATTTTTCTTTTAAAAAAGGAAAATCAATCTGTACATTATATATTTTAATTCTACCTTACTTTGACTAGACAAATTCTGGAAAGCATGTCTGATCCAACCATTTTTCATGTTTTGCAGAGCCATGCTTTAACAGGAGATTGCTAGCATGTGTGCGTGGGGGAAGAATGCTATTTGGGGACAACCGAAATATTTGCTTAAGTTAAGAGGTTCCAGAGGTTGTTTTGGCACTTTCAAAATATAACCTAATCAAAATAATCTAGCAGCATACTTACAGACACAAAAAGAACATAGACTATAAAAAGTGCAATTGAAATACACTTTTGTACAATTAATCTTTTTAATGTCGAAAGCAAGCACCAAAATTTCAGCCTTCTGTATTCTTACATGGTATAACAGGGAGGTATTCTGCACTGGATAAAGCATGGATCACACCGACCATGGCTAACATTACCCCCAAGGCAAAGGGTGGATAACTATTTCTTTTTCATGATTTTTCAAATAAAAATAAGAAGATACACTACTTTCCCCCATTTTACAGGTAGGAAACTAGCATTGGCAAGCAAGCCACTCTGGATCTCAGTTTAGCCACATGATAAGAATAAAAAAGGTAGAACTATATTATAAGAAGAAAATGAAAGAAGGGCACCAAAGACCTATTTGTGCTGGTGTAAGTGCAGTGGCATAAGCTGCAGCAGCAAATTGTCGCAAGTGAACAAGTCACTGCATGCATTCCTTATCACACACCGTATTACACAACTGGCATGCAACAAAGAACACAATACTCTTACACTGGTATGAATAACCACTAGGACTGTGGTGCCAATGTAATTTATCTGTGAAAACTACAAAGATTTTAGCCCAATAACCAGCCTGGATAGTGAACTGAATCTAGGAACTACGTGAAATTGCTCTAAATTCCATTTACAGATAGAAGTTCAGTAACTACACAAAGTCCAAGATATTCTGGCAGAAAGTAAAAAATGGCACACTCAAATGTGATACACCATCACTGTAAGTAAATAACTGTTCTTAAATATATTAATAATAACCACGTGGTGTCAAGTCCATTCTGACTTATGGCAACCCTTTTCAGGGTTTTCAAGGTAGTTGTCCAAAATTTCCTACCTGAGGCAGGACCCCTAGAGTGCCTAATGCACCAGTTCTCAGCCGGTCAGTGATAGGATCAGAGAAGAGCAGCACACAAATGAGCCACACATCCTTTGACTACAGAGGGGGAAAAAACCCTTCATTTATGGGGGAAAGAGCCAAGCATATAAAATAAACATGCAAGCTGCTTACTTATACCTTGCTCCATGGCGATGTTGGTCCTTTTTAAGGAGAAAGGTGGGATAAAAATATTTTAAATAAATTAAATGAATAGTCATGCATTAAGAGATTCACCAGAGCTTGAGCAGAACAGCGGGGTAAGTATCTTAGAGGACTTGTTATTTAAAACTTTCCTGTTAACAGAAATACTAAATGCCTGAAATGAAGACAGGTCTGTACCAAACAGAAATATTGCATGATCAAGCAGAACTACCAAAATTGCATTGGGGAATTGTTGCTATGTGCTGTCAAGTCAGACTAATAGGGCTTTCAAGGCAAGCAAGAGATTTAAGGAATGGTTTTAGCTGTGCAGTTACAACTCTCCTCCTCCCCTCATGAGTTTCTATGGCAGAGCTAGGGAATCAAACACAAGTCTTCTCGGTTCTAGTCCTTTACTCTGTCCACTACACCACACTACATTTCCAGCATCTCCAGATGGTACAGCCAGTAGCCATGCCACCTGGGGTATTTTGGAAGTCACAGTCTCCAAAAATAACTTTTGCAAGCACCACTCCCAAAGATTAATTTATGAACTGCAGTGCCTTTTCACTCAGCCTCTCCCACTGTCCTAGCAAAACTAGGCTTCTTGCCTCAGTGTTTTACATGCAACAGGGTCTTGTCAATGTATATCAAAGGTACAGCCATACTCTTATTGTTCCCCTGATTCTTGCTAAATTCATCTTTCTGAAGATGATACTGGGGTCATAATCACCACATACGTATTTCTTCTTTCCTCCCCAAAAGAGCCCTAATGTTGATATCCAGCACGTACATGAATTTCACTTGCATATCTCCAAACAAGGCCGTGTTACTTGTCCCAGAAAAACCTACACACACGGGTGAACAGACAGAATACTTGTCTGTGGCAGTGAACTAGACCAGTTAGGCATCCCAAATTTTTTAATTCTCGTGTTTCAATCCACTACTGTTCTGAAGGCAAAATGTGAACATATCCAGGTAATGTCTAAAATCAGAAGGTAGGCCGTGAACATATGAGGAGACTCGGTCTTTGAATCACCTCTCGCTTTTCTCTCACGCTTACCCGGATCAGAACTATACAGAAAATCAACGCAATCTGTACAGATCATAGCACTCTCACTGCCCTGGCAAGTTTAGGGAGTTTTCATGAAGAAGAAAAAAAACACCATTCCTCTGTGGCATGTGAGGTGAAGGATTTGAATAATATTTCAACAAACCAGATGAAACCAACCACCAGGTTCC